TTCTCTCACAGGATGAACAGGCCCTTATTTGTTTTAATTAATGAAGTGTTACAAAAGTCATAATGAAGCATAAGAAGGCCTGATTGACTTCACTGCTGCATTTTTGGCAAACTCAAATTGCCATGTTAAGAAATATAGTAATCAGCTAGACAAGTTCTCTACATGAGGAAGAACTTGTGTTGAGGGCAGATGGAGAACAAGACTCTGAACTACATGTAGAGGGAAAAAGTTACAGGCCATACTAGCATTTCAGTTTAACTTGCACAGGTTTCTCTCTCCCTCTCCTTCTCCTTCTCCTTCTCCTTCTCCTTCTCCTTCTCCTTCTCCTTCTCCTTCTCCTTCTCCCTCTCCTTCTCCTTCTCTCTCTCTCTTTCCCTCTCCCTCTCCTTCCCTCCCTGTCTCTTTCTTCAGTGTTTCCACAGTTGTGTGAGATAAATTGAGATCAGCAGAGATGTCCAGCTGACCTCAAGTGATCTTAGTCAATTCACACACGAGATAATAAAGTGAAAGTTGTTATAAGCCACTCAGTTTTTGAGTGGTTTATAACAGAGCAAATGAGAAGCAATGCAACTTAGTATAATTCCTTTACACTTCTCTGCACAAATCTTTCCTTTGCAGCTCTTTCCTTGTGCATCTTAGAAGTGAGAGGTGAGAAACTATTAGCTCAGAGATAGACAATGTGTGCTTAACTTGGCTGCCTTTACCCCTAGGAAACATATAGCCCTTCAATAGGCTCTGACTGTGATATATCAAGTCCATAAGGTGAGTATATGTTTTGGTTAGTTTGGTTTTTCTTATCGGTAATTTGATGGCATACTTAGAGATGTGAGGATATATACTCTTAACTGCCTCTCACTAAAGGCCTTATTGAATATTAGTCATAATTTGCAACTAACATAAGTTTTAGAAAACACAATTAAAATAAAAATATACTTTGCATAATATATTAAAGGAATATAAATTTTAAAAAATCTGATTCCTGATCAAAATGTATTAATGTTGGCTACCATTTATTTAGCATCTACCGTGTTTTATGGTATACATAGAATATATCTATACATAATATATAGGGATACAATTTCAGTTTATATTTATAATAGTGTAGTAGCAATAATGTTAATCTTTCTCAAGCATATTAACTTCATTCCCTTAATTTTTTCTGTTCTGTTTTTTTTTTATTTTGAGACAAGGTCTGTTTATGCAGTTCAGGATGGCCTCAAACTCACCAAGTAGCCCAGGCTGGCCCTGAATTTGAAGCAATCCTGCCTCAGTTTCCCAAATGTGGAGCTTACAAGCGAGTGCTGTTATGCCCATCATCATTCTTGCCTCAAAGTTTTTGTGTTAGCTGGTCCCTTTGATTGAACAACTTTCAATGCCAGATTTTTCTCTCTTCGCTTGCTTGTGAGTTCAGCTATAATTTTATTGATTTCAAGCAGACTGCCATAGTTACTCTATGTAAATTAGATTCCTTAGGTAGCTTCTTCCTGTTTATATTTTCATTTCATGTATTACTGTCTGAAATTTTCATATCAATTTTCCAGTATGTCCTCGGCACCTATAATGATGCCTGGGATAAATGAGTGTATGGATGAAGCAAGCAAGGACAGAACTTTTACTGCTTGCTCAGAGTGGAATTCTGGCGGAAGGCCTATGGTCAAGATTTCTTAAAGTAAATACTTGTCTGCATTTGATCCCATTTCTGTTGTCTCTGCTGAGGATTTAAGTTACTACATGAAAGTCTCTGTCAAAAAAATGTTAAAAGAGAGGCCCTCTAAAGACCAAACATATTTCTAATTACGACTTGGTTTTCCTACAAGGTAAGAACATGCCGATCTTTTGCATCATTAACAACTGGTATTTGTTTTTCAGAGTTTGTCTTCAATGCTTGATTGGCATGAATCTGTGCAGAAAGAATGATCATTCAGATCTAGCCATGGAAACTTCAAGTTCGGATTCTCAGACATTTAACCTCAAAGGATCACTGTCTTTTCTTTTTTATTTTTCTTCTTTTCCCTATCCCTCCTCTCAAGTTTCCCTGCCCATTTGAACCATTTCTTTCTATCTCACAATATCCATTATACATTTTGATTGTTATTTACACTTTCAGTTTTTCACATGGCATAAACAATGCAGTATTTAAACATAAAATTAAGAGTATGGTTTTAAGCCAGAAATATCTCAATCTTATCCTTCTTTATGGTAGAGTAAGTAGCATTTCATTGTACAAAAAACTCTTCTTTATGCATTCATTGGCTGATGATCATTTGGGATGTTGCCCAGATTTAGCTATTACAAACTGTGCTGCTAGAAACATGGATGTGTATCTATCACTGTGTATGATGTTTTGGGAAGATACTAAGAAGGAGACTATCTGGGTCGAATGGTACCTCTGGTCTTGATTTTGAGGTATCTCAACACTGATTTTCATAGTGGTTGCACCAGTTTAACTACCACCAACAGTAGAGAGAGTTTCCTTTTTCCTCACAGCACCTTAAGCATTTGTTATTAGTTGATTTATTGATAATAATCATTCTTACAAGAGTAGGATGGATTCCCAAAATTGTTTTAATTTGCACTTCTTGAGTGGTCAGTGATTTTGAACATTTTTTCAAATGTTTATTTGCTATTTGCACTTTTCTTCTATCAAGTGTTGATGGTCAATTGGGATGTTGCCCAGATTTAGCTATTACACACTGTGTTGGATTGCATCTTTAAATTTGGGGTATTTAAATTTTTTGGTATCTTTATATATTCTAAATAGTAGTCCTTTGTCTGAGAACAACTGGCAATTTTTTTTCATTTTGTTGATTATCCACATTCCTTTGGTTTCTTTTGTTGTGCAAAAGCATTTTAATAAGATGAAGTTCCAGCTGTAGATTCTTTGTGATATTTCCCAATCAGGGTTTTGTTAAAGAAGACTTTTCTACACCTATTCAAGAGTTCTACCTATTCTCTCTTCCAGTAGATTTAGTGTTTCTGTTTTAATACTAAGTTTTTTGATCCGTTATGACTTTAGCTTAAAGCATAATGAGATATATGAGTCTAGTTTTATTGTTCAGCATGTGAAAAGCCAGTTTTTCCAAAACCATTTATTAGAGAGGCTATCTTTCTTCTAGTCAACATGTTTCACCCCTTTTTCAAAAGTAAGGTGGCTGAGTGTGTTTGAAATTGTTTCTGCATTTTATAATCTATTCCACTTATCCTCAGATATGCTTTTCTTCCAATACCAGGCTGTTTCTATCACAGTAGCTCTGTAATAGAACTTCAAGTCAGGAATTGTGATTGCCCACTGCCTTGTCTTTTATCCCAGAATAGTTTTGCAATTGAAGGATCACCTGACTGCTATATCTATTGTGCTTCCCTGAGCTGAGTCAATAATGTATTATCAGTTTATATTATCATTGAAGGACTAAATTCTATTAACCACAGTACAGAATTGGGACTGCATCTATATTACATCTCACCCGCACTGGAGCAGAGAAGGTGAGAACATTAAAAAGAAAAAAAATCCTGTTTGCGTGTGTATGGTTAATTTTTTTATTATTTTCTTTCTTATGACACTGATTAGAGAGCTCCAACAAGGAGGACTGTATTGTTAATTTAGCCAAACTCTTAGAGATATTGTAAGGAAAACAAAGTATAACATCATGCTTGATTCAGTGATGTTATATAGGACAATAAAGATAAGTTACAGAGCAACAGATAAAGGTTTATTCCTATGGGTTAAATTTTGGTTGTTAATGTTATTGATCTAAATGCTGTTTTTATATTTCAAATAAGGTGCATAATACTTTTTTGAGCAATTGTATCCATCCAGTTTTGATATTAGCATTTCCTTTGGGCATGACCTGATAGAGTAATAACCACAAACTGTTACACAGATGTTCAAAATATAGAATAACTACACATCATTAAGAAACAGTAATACTTACCATGGGTATAGAAACATCTGTGATATACCAGAAAGTAGTTTATTATTTTAATGCCGTTGGCTTCTTGGGAGAAATGCTTTACAAACTTAAAAATAAAAACTGTGTCAACCCATTATTTTTGCATACCCCCACAGTGCTATAGCACAATTCTCATACTTAAAATTTGCATTTCTTTTTCTCCTTTTCTTGCTACAAGTTTTATACCCAGTAAAGAATGCTATTTTAAATTTTCTATATTTATTCTACATATTCTATAGAATAAATATTCTATATTTATTCTATATTTATATAATGAGAAATTCACAGAAGCAACTTAAAGTCCGTTACTATACTTAGAAAAACATATCTGAAAATCCCAACATCTTATCTAAGACTATTTTCATAAATAATCTAACATTTCATTTTAATTTCAAAGGATATTTCCAGCCTTGTAGAAATTATTTCATCTCCAAGCCAATTAACATTTGCATTCATAGATTTCAAATCAGCTATCTGAACTGTTATATGTGATTTATATGTTTATGAGGCATAGATAGATAGATAGATAGATAGATAGATATATGCACGCACATGTATGGGGAATATATACACATATTTCATATTGGAGTTAAATATGTATATAATAATTAATCAGTACATCCTTTTCTTTAATTTTTTCTTTTTCATAAATTTTCTAACATTTCTACACTAATATTTGTATTCATTATTTGTCAGTTATACACAGAACCTCTTACAAGCTCAAGAATGGTCTGCACATATTATTTTTGATGTCATAAAAATTTAATAAACTGTATGAAGTGCTATTAACTTGTCTTGTTCTTCAATGGGAAAATAAATATAATTTTATACTGAAACATGAAAATATAAAATATAAAATTTTTTGATATTTTCTTTATAATGAATAGAGATATATGTTCATATGTAAAGCAATGAATTACTTTGATAATTATTTGACATTTATACTAACAAATATAGACCCTTTTATACTAACATTTATACTAACAAATATAGACCCTTTTTGTGGTCAGAATGTATAGGCACTGATTCAAAGAAGTTTGCATACGAAACTTAGTCACATTGCTTTATTTTGTTTTGTGTTATTGGTGATGGTATTATTCAATTCACACACAAAATTATTTCATGTCATCATATCCTTGCATTTAACCAGTGAAAGAGTAATTTTGAAAGAAAACATTTTACAAACTGGACATAAACCCTGTTTATTTTCTCTTAAAGTTGCACTCCATAAAGCAAGTCCATTTTTAAACCTTTCTCAATATTATACAAAAATATTCTTATGCAAGTAGCAAATGCATCTTTAAACATCCAACTTTTTTGATATTTAAAGCAGTCAGACCAAAAATTTTCATTGTTAATCTTTAATCTAAACATAGAATACCTTGTGCTTATACAAACTGCTGTTATCATGTGCTCATGTACTCTTTAAATGAACCTGTCAAATATGCTCTGTCATTATGCATTAAATTATGTAAAAAAGTATAATCAGTGCAAAACTTGCCTATTTCTAAACAATGTTCTTCAACCTCCTCATTTATATTTGTTTATATATATATATATATATATATTCATAATTTCTTTTTGGAAAAAAATTTAAGGCAAGTGCAATCAAAATTACAAAATCACTATCTCTATTGCTAGCGTATGCAGCATTCATATATAATGACTGATTTCCTTCCCTCTTAAAAATAAAAGTACATATCCTATGTATGTGATCCTTGCCACAGTCAGCTATGTAGTCTTATCCATTAGTCATAGTTATCTTTAGCAATATCAACAATTCTCCAATCCTACACCAGCAAAAATTTCTGTTATCCCCTTCCTGTGAGTTCTCATCCCATGTCCAGTATTCACATGATGATACACAGCAAATTTTTCAGATTCCTGTTTTGAAGATGACTATGAATACAAGGTCAACTCCTGGCGCAGAATACTTAGGGTGCAGTACTCGTAAGATGGCCAGTTGTAAATTTACTTAATTCTATTGTGTTTCTATTTCACTTCAGTGATGGCACGGAGTCTGTAAAGAGAAAACTAAAGAAAAGTCTTATCAGTAACTGTATTTCTAAAGTTAGGGTTTGCTGAGGATATGTTATTTGCTGAGGAAATAATTTAAATGTAATCTGAAGAGTAAGTTATTTCACAGTCACGGAAACATAAAATAGACCAAAAGATAGGAATCCCACGGTAATAACTTTGGTGCTTTCACAGGCTTTTCTTGTAATAGTTGCTGAGTGCAATACCACTCTCGTTCTTTATAAATAAATAATTCAGGGCTACCGTGTAATGGAAAGAGTAGGAAAAGGAAACAGTTACAGAATTTTTAAGGGAAAAATAAAGAATGAGCTGATTCTCTCCTTTAAGATAAGATACATGTCCTTAAAGAAAATTTACTTGAAGAGAAACTTGGGTATTTTTAGCCTATGCAAGAATGTTTCACTGGGTAATTTCGTGATGAAGTGTATTACCTTTGAAACTCACAGGTATTTGTTTACTGTAGCACAAATTTTAACCACATTGAAATGCATTGATAATGTATATTGTTTTAAATTTCAGATTGTGTGTACATTATGCCTGTGTGCATACATGTACACTCATTTAACACACTAAATACTTCTCACTGTGACAGTAAATGACTGATCTCCTATTCTCCATTATGCATTCTGAAGCTAAATTAATGTATTGTCTTTTTTGTTTAGTGTCTAACTATTAAAACCTATATTAAACCCAATAAAAATTGCTGTGGCATATTATTTCGGATATGTTCTGTATTATAAATCATCAGTGGTAAGAATCGCTAGGATTATAAGTGAAATCTCCGTGAAGAATTTAGAAGAATGTTTCTCCTAACAAGAGCAATGTCCTTGAAATATGCACTGAGTATCAGTGACATAATCGGTTCATGAGAATCTGACATCAAATAATACATTCTTTTTAAGAAACAGAAGCTAGCAGTCTCAAAACTAGGGACATAGAGATCCAAATTAGCCCAGTGAGTTAAATGTATATGATTAAAACTACATTGTTGGAGAAAATGGTTGAGAGGTAAAATAAAGATAGAAAGAGGTTTGACATTGTGTAGGTTGTCATTTTGCTGAAATAATGGAAGGTGAGGTATTTAGCTTCTTGTCTTATCTCATGCAGCATTAACTAAATTTATTGGCACTGCATGAATACGGTTTTGTACTTTGTGCAGTTATGTACTTTATAGTAGGTCTCCAAATTACAAGATCAAAAAATTCCTGAGGTTTGTTTTATAGAGCAAACCAGTAATGTTTGCTTTAAAAAATGCTATAAATGCTTTTCATGCAAAAGAACTTGTGGAAAACTCTTTATTAATCTTTAGACAAAATTGTTAATTTGAATGAAATAGTGGTTAATTAACTCTAATTTAACTGATTTGATATTTTTGTATTTATTTTAACAACTGTCTTTGGTAACCTTATTTAATTTTATTTTTCCTCCTTTACAAATAAAAACAGAAATGACACCAGAACCACATTCTTTCAGAAGAAAGTTGTGTTTTTAATTAACACTTAACTGCTAATTAGCTTATTTTTCTGCTACACGGCATACTTTTTTTGAAACTATGTATTCAATGGCAATGGTAGGTGACTTTTTTGAGTCAAAGAAGACTAATTTTCCCCTCTTCTTGGGTTATTTTCAGTTGTATAATTTTCAATTCTTTGGGTTTTATTTCAATTATTGACTTTTATGGTGAGTACAGATATAACGATTAGGGAGCAATTATTTAAAAAGTAATACTCATGTTTACTTATTGTGTAATTTTTCAACTGCAATGTTTAATTTTCCATTCCAAAGAGCACCAGTTTTTGGAATAACAAATCAATGGATTCTACACCTGTATATCTCAAAAAGCATTTGGTGGGCTTCTGCACTAGAATTACCTGGGAAACATGCTAATAAATACTGGTCACTACTCCAACCTTACTGAGGTTCAATCCAACTTATTTTATTTTTTAATATGCTTTTGGTCCTGGGAACTGACCTAGGGTCTTACACATGGTAAGCATGCAATATACCACTGACAAGCACCCCAATTTGAAATTTCATTTTTAACAAGCAAAAGATTTGAGAACCGTTTGTTTGGTTCCTGTAGTTTTTAGTTCTGATTGTCCTCTAGAATCACCTATAATGTTTGTTACGAAAACACTAACCGGCCTAGTGTGATGATGCACACATGTAATCCTAGCATGGGGAGGCTGAGGCGGAAAGTTCACAAGGAACTCCAGGCTAGTATGGGCTACATAGTACATTCAAGGCCAGGCTGAACTATATAGTGAGATCTTTTCTCAAAAAAAGACAGAAAACAAAAGAGAAAAGAGAACACTAACATTAGGGAGAAATTCTATACCAACTAGTTACATCTGAATCTCTGGGATTTTGGGGATGTTTTAAATCTTCTCAGGGACTTTGAAGCACACCCAGAACTTCATAGTATTATAGTTAGAGGGATGCTATGAAAGAATTATTTCACACTTGACCAAATTTTTATGTCATATCAAATATGACAAATCATTATTCCTATGATACATTATATTTATTAATCAATTTCCTATTTTCTCCCGGAAAATTATGCTAAAAATGTTTCTCTGTTCAGCCTGATATTATCTAAGAAAGGATTTTCATTTACATTTTCTTTCAAGCTTATAATTCTTTAGAATTTGTATTGCTAAGTGTAACAGAATTAGAACACTTGATTTACGTTAAATCCCTTATTGATTTTTCATAATCTTATACTCATTATTTATGTAGATTTTGGGCATGTTCTTCTCCTCCTCTGTTTTAGGAATATTTTATCTTTTGTAAGTGTTTCTTCATTGGCTCATATTTTTGCCAGTGTAAAAAAAGAGCTGATTTAGCTGTTTTTTATAAGCCAGTTATTCACAGTCTACTTTTTCACCATGGCTCTTTTTTTTTAATTGTTATCTATCTATGCTTTAATTTAAAACTCGTAAGTGTATATCTTTCCACAATTAAGCAAAAATTATGAACAGTATCCATAAATTATTGATTTTGATGTTCTATCAGTTTTATTTATGTTTTCTAAAGTCCTGATTAATTCTAAATCAGTTATAAAACACTTCAAGAAAAATCTCCCTCAGTGTAGAATGAAAAGGCAATTGATATCAAAATTTCTAATTTGGGCAAATACTTTGCTAATGTATTTGTCAAACTGTGCCTTTTGTATTCTTCAGAAACTTACCCTACCCTCCTGCCCACAAGTCAGGACTCTACCTATACTAGCTTATTTTGGACACGAAGCATCGATTGAAGAAATACAGGATTAATTGAAGAATTCACCTGAATAATTCTTATAGGACTTGTATAGATACCAAAAATCCCACAGCAATAAGTGATTGAATTATTAAAATATTACAATTAACTGAACATTTGCCTCATTATATGCTTCTACTTCATGGTTAAATTTATATCTGATAGTAATTAGGAATTTTCAAAAAAATAGATGCTTCATTAGTGTTGGTTTTTTAAACAACTGTCAATAATGAATATAATTGAAAATTGCTCAGAATTTATGTGTAAGTCTGAAGCACATGAATTATCCCAAACATTCTTCAACTATAGAGACATTTTCCTGATATTTTGAATGATGTATCATCTTCCAAAATGCACAGTTTAAAATATACTATAAAAATTAAACATTGAGTTTTATTCCGTATTTACTTTTCTTAACAGAGGTTACTGTTGTCCATTAAAAAAACCGACTGAGGTAGAAATAACTATGAATTTTTAAATATATTAATAAGTTTGAAGCCTCAACTCACATAACCTTATAGGGTTTTAAGCTATTACTTTAAATTTTCATAATGATTTATTTCTGTTTTGTCTTTCATAAGTGTTCTTTAAAAGGCTGCTCTCTTAAGATATGAATTCTGCTTAAATAACCAATTCATTTTAAGAGGCTTATGGTTATTCCCTTGCTATGCTTGTGATGGAAAGATTTACCACCTTTTCTTCCCTCAAATAAATAACTAAGTAACTAAATAAGTCTTTGTCTTAAATATAATGTGAAAAATAAGGCCGAAAATTTTTCTCTTTACGAATAATTGAGCACTACAAGTACCTGCAAACAGAGCAGAAAAACAAGATGATTAAAGATCTTGGCCACTTTAAAATTACCTGAGGGGATTATATTTTAAGGTCATTATATAAATAATCCTTTCAAACAAAGAAATAAAATGCCTGGAGAATAAGAAATAAAAAATGGAAACAGTGAAGAAGGATTCACCTGCTATCATTCCTTTCTTTTCTCTCTCAAATATTTTTATGAAGCAAATATGTTAAATATAACATTGCAAAGATCATTAATATGATAATGACTTTCAAATCATTGAAGCAGCGATTCAAATCTCTCCATAATCCATCAGTAAGGAAAAAGCTTATAAATGGACTTTTAAAAAATCAACCTTTCTTTATTTTCTTCTTTCTTCTCTTTTTCTTTCTTTCTTTCTTTCTTTCTTTCTTTCTTTCTTTCTTTCTTTCTTTCTTTCTTTCTCTCTCTCTCTTTTTCTTCCTTTCACAGCCAGCTAGGCAGTTATAGGCATTTATTAAGTCTCTTTTTTCACAATCACAATAGGAATTAGGCCTAGAATTATAAGATTAAATAGACATAAACAGAGAGGGAAGGAAAAGTATAACAAGAGTTATCAAATTAACAAACATACTTAAATATGTTCCAACAACACATCATTTAATTTATTTTCACCTATGATCAGGTAGAAATCAGAAGAAACATTTGTAGCTTAATAAATAATTTAATTTCTTGAATTTCTATGTAACATATAAATTTATTTTTACAGGATATATAGAGAGCATACTCATAGAGAGCAACAGACTTATGAAACAACTATAAAACACAAATTATAATTCGAGTTTAAAATTTTTCATTTTTACACTTGTATTTGTCTATTTTCCTATCGCTAGTCAAAGCAAAACCAAATATATAATTGTAAGTATTATAAGGAAAAAAGGAGTGCCTCCATCACCTACGCATGAGTTACATACATTCTAGATTGTACAAAATCAAAAGAAGGTAAGCAAAACTAAAGGGAAACACTATGTAAAATGCACTTTTTTTTTACTGAATGTTGAACAAATCTGATAGTGTCTTGAGTTTAAAATATGACTTGAACACCAGCCGAGGAAAATGACTAAATCCACTTTCCTGTTTGGGTTCCTTGAAAATCTGAAAAGGTAAAAGATTTTGTAATTCAATAGATTATATGAACATACCTCCACTACTTCGGTGGAAAAATACACTAAGGGGTCTAGTTAACAGGAGCATATACTGCAAGGAATACAGACAACTGCCCATGTATCCTAACATTAAGATGTCTTCTTCCCAGTTGAGAATTAACCTAAAGCACATCTGATCACCCCCAATTTAATTGTTCATTGACTAGTAAAGATAGATCCAAATTACTTTGCCACATATTCATGCACTATGTAATGTCATTTCACATTAAATCTTTTTTTAATGACACAGCATGCCCTTTGAAACAATGTTATATGGAATACGAAGATTAAAATTTACACAACGTAATTACATGTAGTACTCTGAAGTTCATGTGCAGTTTTTCAGATTCTGCTTATTTAGTAATGAAAGTGACATAGTATAATGACTTTTACGATGGTTGTTTCTACGCGAAAGAGAATATTTTTCAGAATCATGGGCCCTATGTGATACATCAATAGAGGTAGTAAATGGTAGTGGAAAAATAGCATTTTACTTAATTTAATGAAGAACTGAAAAACATGAGATTGTCCGTGGACCCAGAGGCTATTTGAAGCAAAGTTTACTATTGAGGAGAAGTAATTTACACAAACATTTATAATGTATATATTCATGGTGTGTGAGTGTGTGTGTGTGTGTGTGTGTGTGTGTGTGATGGAGAAGTGCTTGTGTTCTCAGCCTGGAGTCAAGAAACGACACTCATGGAATATTGGAGTTGAGTTCCTTCTTTTTAGTGTGGGAACTTTCTATGGATGTTACTGAGCTTTGATAAGGCACATAAAATTTGGAGTATGATTAACTCTCATCATCATCCTTCTCTTTATTCAAATTTCGTAGCTCCTTGCAATAGGATCTCAATTTCTTAGCATAGCATGAACTTTCACTTTGCTGGCAATCACAAGTAATAGCTAAAACTTTAATCACAACCTCACTTTAGTTCATTTTCCAAAGTCTCTATATTGTTCCAAAACCTTATCATACTTTAGGAAACTAAAAAACTTAACTGCTGAAAGTCAAATATATAATTGATTCTAAATTTTTACATAAGAAAAACAGGTCCTTTCTGGAAAAATCACATTAAGCAATTACTTCTTCTCTTCCTATACTGTTATTTCTTAGGTTTGCAAAAAGAAACATGATTAAATATGAATCATAAAGAAGTTTACACATCACTAAATTGCTTGATTTTGCTTTCCACCTATATTATTTTTAATTAAAATATTAAAATAAATGATTCCAATAATAATCAGCAATTCTTATTCATCAAAGTGTAAATGATTTGTTCTCATATGGAGCTTTTTTTTCAGTATACAAGAGGTTTCCCGAAGAGGCCATTTTGGAAGAGGAACTGCTTATAGTAGAAGAACAATAATCACTCTCTTGAATTTTCATGAATGAAAGTAGGATATGAGACACAACAATAACTTCAAGGTACGTGAGCTATTTAAAAATCAGTATATGATAATGTCTTCTAAATCCAAGCATGAGTAGCATTTTGGATAATGAGTATCCTGTGATTCACATTCAGGAAAAAGGTTTTTACACACCATCATTTTGTCTGGAATTCCAAGGACTTACTTTCTTTGATCTTGTTTATTGACTTGACAGTTACATTGCTCAGAACATTCAATGGGAAGGATTCGTGATAAGGTGAGGAATAGCCTCTGTTTCCCCTGACAATCTCCTTTTCAGGAACCCAGTTACATTATCGTTTCTTTGTCGTAACTGTATGTACTGTCAGAAAACTTTTCCATTATAGTGGTTGTGGATCTGTAGGTAGGATTTCTAGCTTATTTAATAATATTTACCTCTATTAATTACCTATGTAAAAATGGGGTTAATGGTCAACCAAGTTTAGATCAGAGATAGTAATAGATTTTCTTCTTCCATCTCTCTGTATTTTCTTCCCATCTGACACATCACTTGGAAGATGTTGATGCTATCTTTGAATTTCAATACACTGTCTTCTTGGATTAACGATACAACTAAAAATGCTAATTGTAAATGAAAGAAATTAAGCATAAATTTAAAAATACTCCATCAAAAAGGAGAATTACTGTATCATTCTAGAATCAGAAATACTTCACAAAAGTACGAATGAGTGTTTTCCTAGAAAGCATGATCTTAATTTACATAAATGACATCTGAACAGTGAAAGACTATTCTAGGATAAACAAAATTTACCTACAGTTTAGGGGTTGGTTCTCAGTTAATATTTGTTCTTGTTACAAAATGCTTAATAATAATGAAATATGTAAGAAGCCAGCATCTATAATTTTACTATTAAGTCAATAGGGCCCAAATACATATACTATGAAGAAAATAATCACAAAAATGACTGGCTGTTTCAACAATTAGGTGTTTAGCTTAGACATATAGAAGGTTCGGGTCTAAACTCATGTTTTGGATTTATTTCATAGAATTGATCTAAACTTAAGTCAGCTGGATATACAAGATAAAAATGTCTTCTCTGCTCAGAGAAGACCTAAGGTATTAAATTTAAATTCGTATTAAATAATCAAATATTTGAGCATCAGAATAAAGTGTAGGATGCTCAGAAGCAGAGAATTGAGATTATACTAAAGAACTGGATGGACTTTTGAATCCACAATATATCATTCAGAGCCCAAGCGGTGACTGATGAAAAACAGGCAATACCAAACAACACACATGTCCAAGTCTGGAAGTCCATTCTCTCCCCCAGCTTGGCTAACATATTCACATTTTCAACTGCATTTTTACAAACTAGAGTATTGTTATCCCCAGAACCCCATCAGAAAAAAAGAGAAGGATGAAACCTAAACACTAGGGGAAATGCATTTTTTTCTCATTTTATTTGAGTTCTAACAGAACTTTTGTTAAACATAGAGCACGTGAACACATGACAGTTTCCTTTGTCTGTTGTCATATGGAGCTGATAGAGGAATATTTGGGAGGAATGTTCCTAAAGCCATAAATAGCTTCTTTTGCATTTATTTATTTTTAAAATATGACAAAGCATTAGAGGAAAAAAGTTTCTTAAATTGTGAGAATATCAAATATTACCCATCAATCCCTGAATCATGCTATTCAAAGTGCTTAAATCTACACTAAAAATAGAACAAAAAATGTATTCCCAATGCAGCTAAATTAACACCTATGGATGCCTAAAATATGATTGTGATCTGATTACTTCCTCTACATTTATTCCACACTTCCATCGTGCACTTAAGAAATGAAAAATAAGAAAATAAAACCCAAAAATAAACCAGGCCATTGGTACATTTACACTTTTCTGAGTACTGGGGGATTTTGGTATCCAGTCCAATGAGGTTCACTTCTATCTGTTCATGACAGGTGTCCATAGTACAATGTAAACAATGGCCTTCTCAAATTCTAAAAATAACCCAATGTGCAAAGCTGACTTTAAATTTTCACACATCCTCACAGCTTCACTTCTGGTTTTTGAAAATATGATACAATCCAAGGGGAGCACAGGAATAAAGACAGATTGTAGAGAAAGACCCAGGCAAGTTGTCAGGGAAGTAAACATTTTTAAGCAAATAAAAATTAACGTACACGCTAAGAATCCTTTACCTTGTCACACAGATACTGAAATCTTCTCATTGTAACAAAATGTTTATACTCATCCCTAAGATTGTAGTTCTCTCTTATACCCTCGGTGAAATCTGTTGCAGTTTATACATTTTCTTTTTTGGCCAACTCACATCTTAGCATGGGACCAAAACTGTAGAATTGTTTTCTTGTTATATGTTAGCAGGAATAAAGCAAAAATACAATAGCCACTACACAAATCCACAGGGGCTAACTGTGATGGATGTTCTACGATGAATCATTAAAGTAATGAAGAAGTTCTATTATCTGTGTTTTTCTCACATTATTTTTTAACTAAATGCTACATAGGTAATATTTCCTTTACATGACTCTGTCTTCTGCAGGTTCCTTTGATACTGATCTTATAATGTTTTTAACATGAAGATGACATAGCTGCTTATGTCATTATTTTCAAACATAAAGCTAAATGATAAAAATGGATTTCCCGGGAGCATCAGCTCTCTGTTTCTGAAAGATAGAACCATATAGTTAAAAAATTAATTCTTTATACAGTAAAATTAACTATTTTAAATGCTTTCTGATCTAATTTAAAAACTATTTTGTGTAAATAATATTTATTTTCAAAATACTGATATCTGTTTGTATTCATGTTTGACCTCCTGAGTTCTTATTTAAACACCTTGATATTAATAAATGCTGCTTATTTCACAGACTGAATAAAACACCTAATTCTGAATGTAGCCTCAAAATTAATACAAGAGAGTTAACATTTAAATACAAGTGGACTCCACGATAAGTTTCACAGATTTTTCTCGGACTCTTTAGAAAATAACATTTTGTATAATACAAGGTGACAAAACATATTTGATGACACGTCCTATTCTTCCTTTTGCTTTGGAAGCCTTCCATGTAAATTTCATTTGAATTGCCTCGATTCACCCTTTTGAGTTAACTTGCCTGGCATTTGCACATAATCTCATTTGCAGAAAAATTATAGAGGGAAAAGAGGAAGTAGAATATTAAACAAAAACAGCCACAAACACATTCATGCCTTTCCAGGAAGTGATCAAATATAGGGCTTGATTTTTTTGTTGTTTTTTTCCTGTTTTTTGTTTTTTTTTTTTTTTTGTTTCTTTAGTTTTGTTGTTTTATATATATATATTTATATATATATAAGGGTACATCAACTCATTTGAAAAACGGAAATAACACTCTACCCCATTTTTACACCCTCAATCTTTTCTTAGCACGCTTTGTGGTCACTGTCAAGTGACTAGCACAACTTTGGGTCTCGAGTGTATTCTGAAGAGCAGTGAATTAAATGTTAAGACAGTTAGACCCACCCCCACCCCTCTGCAGAGTTTACACGTCATGCTGCCATTAGAAGGGTAGAAGTGGGGAATGAGGTGGGACAAGGAAGAGATTCAGGGCTCTGACTGGCGGGGCCCTCCTGTGAGCAAGTGTTCTTCTTTCTCTCTCTCTCTCTTTTGCACTCTCTTGTTTCTCAAATGGCAATGCTGGCAGTCTTGAACTGCTCACTGAAGGCCGAGATGGCCCAGCAGATCAAAGGCAGAACTCGAGAGAGGATCCGGTGCTCCTTGTCCCATCGGATAGGTTTGTCCAAGCACCCCAAGGAAATGTTAAAAGCGAAATAACATTTTTTAAAAAGGAAATAAAAATTCATTCTAAAACTAAACTAATGAAGCAAAAAAAGAGTTTTCTATCTACACATCAAGTCTCTTCTTTAAAAAAAAGTAAGTTTACAAATTCTAATGACATATAAAACAAAGTCAAAAAAATGTAATGGTAAGAGACATGGTAAAACAGGAAGACACTGATGCTACAAAGAAATTCCAAAAAACATATGTACAAGACCCTGTTTTTCCTCGTGTTCTAGAGATTGTAATGCATGTTTTTGACAGCAGCAGTCGAGGATTTAGTTCCAGGCACTGGGCTGCAGGTTTCACTCAAACTCCCAGGGATGGGATGTCCTTTGCTTTTCTGTCACCATATTACACTGGATATGCTGGTCTCCCTTGGCAACAGCGGCAGGATGGCACTGTTTGTGTGGGCCTCGTCTGGATTCTGCTCTCTGCTCGATTTTGTCTGTGGCCTCTGCCCGTTGATGAGTGTCATAGGGATGTTACAGTAGGTATGCTGATTTCCTATGGAGGTAAGAGGCAGGGTGCCAGTAGGAGGTACGTCGTACTCATAGCTTCGGTAGTAGTGTTTCTGACGCATTTGTGAATGGTACGTGTTGTGAAAGGTAGAACGGAGATCTGGATGGGCAGTGGCTAGAGCTGTGGAGGTGGCCGCAGCCATGGAAATGGCTGAGACAGTCTGCAGCTCCCCAAAAGGCCCCTGCTCACTTACATCTAAAGCCTGCTCGTGTGTAATGGGTTCTATCCTCTTAAAAGGCATTTCATACTGTAAACGTTTCCAGAATTTAGAGTTCAACTTGTTGCATTTTGGTCCATGCCATTTAATAACCGTCAGGAGCTTGATGGTGTGCTTGAGAGCCTCCACCTCCTGATAGTTCATAATGCCGCGTAGTTCACTGCATTCGATTAGTATCACTTTAATTTCACCAGTCACAAGCATGTTTCGAAGTCTGGTCTCCAGTTCAAAGATACTCCAGCCTCTTCTGACCACATAATTTGGAGTCATGACAATAATCAGCCGCTTGCTTTGATCTACGCATCTTGCCACATCTTCAATGTATGCTACAAAGAAAACAGAATGTGTAAGAATGAGTGAAACCTCTGTAGCATCTCTCACACATTAAGTGACAAAAGCCTTTTGTTGGGTAATACTTTAAGAAGTTCAAAACAGGCAAAGATCACTTTCAGTAAATTTGGGCCTTGCTTTCTCTGATGTTAGAAATAATTTCCAAGGATACAAATATCTCGTTTGATATCCTTGAATGTCAACTTTCATAGAATGAGCTTTTTATGAAATAATGAATTATCTTCCCTGGAGAATTGAAAAATTTCATATGAACACACACACACACCACACACACACACACCACACACACACACACACACACACACACACACACACACACACACCATCTTGAGAAATCCAGGGACACAATTTTAGAAGTATAGAGCCAAAAATTAAAACCATATGTAAAACATGAAGACAACACAGACACACTGAAATATGCAAATAAATATAGCAATTAAAACATTGGCTTACTTCCAGTTGGGATTAAATCTCTATCTGGTATAAACAACTTGTAGCCATAATGCTTTTCAAGCATATCAGGGAGAATTTCAAGAGCAAAACGTTCTTCTTCCCCAGTCTCTTGATTCCACTGGTCAGGATCCACTTTGGTGTATGACAGGTACGCATCATAATCTTTATTGTCTGTTAAAAATATTAGAGTGTAAAGATGAGTTCATTATTTTATAAAGAGAAAAATAAGATAAGAAAACATTCATGTTTTACTTCATAATTATTTTCAAATGGCCGATTCCTAGGATCAAAATAGCAGTCTTCATCACTTTAGCTCAAGTGTTGACTAATATCAAATATTCTTGGAACTAGCTCAAAGGTATAAAGGGGTCACATTGTCATTTTTGTTGTTGTGAAAAAAAGTAGGAAAGAAATCAGTGATAGATTGATGATGGCTGGAGGAACAGTTTAGTAGAAGGGAATGTTCTACGTATGTTCAAGGTGCAGTGCCGTACTTAGCAACTCAAAAACAAAACGAAAAGCAATGGAATACTGACTTTTACTATTCACATTCACAGAGATCATAAGGGATGATTATTTTTATAAGATTCACATGTTTGGATAGTGGTATACTTATAATGTAGACAGTAAGTTCTGCCAACCCTGTCTTTGGCCATCTGTTTTTGTTGTGATTATTTGTTGTTGTTGTTGTTAGTAGACAAAAAGAGAGAAAGCTGCACTTGGATTGATAGTTCAGAAATGATTTTTTGAGAGAGGGTAGAGAGACAGACAGCGACACAGAGAGACAGAGAGAGGTAGAAAGAAATAGATAGATGTCACTATGTTGGCCAGGCTGATCTCAAGTTCCTCAGCTCCAAGAATCCTCCTCCTTCAGCATTTCAAGTACTTGAAACTACAAGTGCATGCCAGTACAGCCTGTTCTCTCATTTTATAATGATTAACAGGCAGTCATGCCACAAACGGTTATGTTCTTGAACACTATGAATCCTGTCTTTACATTTCTATTTTAGACAGGATCCCTCTACATAAACCAGGGTGGCCTGGAACTCCTGGGGTCAAGATATCCTCCTGCCTCAGCCTCCCCTGTAGATAGAATTATAGGCATGTTCTGGTTTGAGAAATACTTTTAGAGATTATGTAAAATGCAGGTTTCTGTTGAAAAAAGAGTAAAATCCAACTTGGAATCATTAATTTTTGACTGAGACTCTGTTGTTGCATTTTTGGAATTGAAAATATAATTTAGCCTGCATGCATGTATAAAACATAATGCTGTACTGGTCTCCCATTTATTTTACACATAAAATAATGCCAAAGTATTTCTCATATCATAATCCATTTGATGATACGAAAAAATATAATATAAATGAAAAAATAATGCTAAAATCTGATCTCTCTTTCCTCTTAACCCTGTTCACATGAACATTCTTCACGAATTTGAAAATTGTGTGTGCTGACTTTATCATAGTTTTTCTAACATGGCATTCTAAAATTTTTTATGGTTATTTCTAAAAATAAAAAGTCACTTATCTTCTGGCTCTTGTTTGTCAGTTTCATATTTAGAATACGATATCAGGATTTATATTTCCATTCTAAATATTGTCAATCCAGGTACTCTAACAGTACCATCAATATTCATAACTTTTTCCATTGTGATCACCAGTGTAATACCCAATTATTAGATCAAGGTGAATTGAAACACTCATGAATTTTAGAATTTAATGAACTCAGCATCAGGTATAAAATCCATGATGGTATAAAACATCAAAGATTGTGGAACAGTTTTGATTCTTACTTTAAGCGACTTTGTGATACTCATTTTGACTTTAGGGACACAAACACTTCCTGAGATTGATGTCTATGCATTAATTCTAATAGTCTGTTAATCCTGAGCCATCTAAAAATCCTTTTATGGCTATATCATTTAAGGGAAAAATGAGAAAACCGTTTAATGTCCCTAAGGTTAAAAGAGTGATTTAAAAAGCTAACAACTCCATTATAGACACCCTGGAAAAATTTATCAGTAGAATTTCTTTTAAAAAAACAGTTTTTATAGGGCTGAGAGTTTAGCTCAGTTGTAAAGTGCCTGACTGGCAAATAAGAGGTCATGAGTTCATTCCTCAGTACAAAACAAAATAAACAGTATTTATGAGAGACAAATATTAGAAGATATTAAACATTCAAAAGGTGTCATACTTTGCTGTTTCTTTTATCCTAAATCCAGGATTCATTTATATATATTATAAATAAAGTCTAATTTTTACAAGAAATAATATATTTGTCATACAAGACTTTTTTCCATAGATCAGCAGACAGCTTATCATAGAATAATTTAATACTTAGTACACATTAGTATAATAAAAATCATTGAAAATAACACATAATACAGCATATACAATAATTTAATATTTAAGCAATAAGCTATTCATATGTACTGTCTATAAAACTTTAAATTTATTTTACAATATTAGTGTTTTCTAGTCTAGTATGAGATAGACAAATTAGCAACCTATTTCAGGGGAGGAATGTGTTATTAAGCGTAGTATAGGGATCAATAGCCAAAGGGAAGACACTGTAAGCCAGATTGCAGATTGTGGTATATATTGGTGTATATAATATTTTCTTTCTGTGAAGTTGTTCTCTTCCAATTTGCCTCCAAAGAGTTCCAAAGTGTTGAAATGCCCCTAAGTTTGTATTATAAAATAACTAAATATCATTCTTTGCTTTTGTCTTCTTTAGGCTTGAAACCTTTTAAAATAAGATCAACACACATACTGGAATACTGAGAGAAAATATTCAAGAATCAGAAGAGTTATAAATATTTAGTTTCCCCTTATTGGTAAACTCCATCCTTGCTTGCATGACATTGCTTGGGTTCCCATCCTCTTCTATGTCCATTTCTCTTACAATCCATATATTGTTGTTATGCCAAGCTGTTTTCTGTGGCGTACTTCAGTTTTCTCTTCAGTCCACTTTTCCTTTAAAAATATATTTTATTCCACCGCTATATAGCTCAGCAGCACAGCAATTGTGTGCCAAGCACATCAGTTCAATCCTTGGCACCAGAAAAAGTCTTTTATTCCAGTAGTATCTACAATCACTTCTTTATAACAGCCTCCTTAATAAGGATGCCCAATCCTTTCCCCTCTTCCCCACTCTTATTTGTAATCTCTATCCCTCAATTTAGATTTTCTGGCATGCATCGCACACTATATATGCTGACAGCATAACACTCATTTTATCTCAACCTCTGTTCTTTACTTTTATTTCATTTTCATTTTAATAGAGAGATCTCATTTCTTTAGTGTCTAAGCCTCAGATGCACGCTTAAACTATCAATTTTATTTGTCAATAATATCAAAGCTATTCATTGATACAAATTCATTTATTACGGCCTTCTCATTACTCAACTGTTACAATTATATTGTACCTGATCTTCACTTTCCATTTCCTTGTCCTTTTGGAGAAAAGAGACAAATTTGCTTTTTATATCTCACCACTGCTCATATTTTATGGTAGCTCAACAATATTTATGGATGCCCAGTTTTTTAAATAACTAGAAGCTAAATCTGTTGCTCATTTTCCCTAAAGTTGAGATTGATTTCCCTTATTGGAGATGATCTCTTCCACTATTTATTATACTATTATCTATCTATCTATCTATCTATCTATCTATCTATCTATCATCTATCTATTTATCTATCATCTATCTCCTGTCTTCTGTCTCAGACTGCAAGATCTTTGTCTCAGTTAAGTGAGTAGAGCTAAGTAAATGCTCAAACCAATCTACGGAGGGAATGAATACATGTTATTTTATCTTGACATCATATGACTCACATCCTATAATTATTTTCAATACCTGGGATATTTCTCAGGAGAGATGGTGTTGAAGATGCAGACACCATATTTCACAGACTCCTTAAGGAATCATGAAGAGCTATGGAGTAAGAGGTTAGCAAGGTTCCTTTAGAACAGTCTTGAACAATAGTTGCTTATTAGAGAGACCTTATGCTCCATACAAATGCCTCTAGGAATGTGGTTTTCAGCTTGGAGCACAAACCTCAAGAATTTGTTAAGACTTGCTAAAAATACAAACTGCTAGAGTTCGCCTCCAAAGTTTCCCATTCAGTGGGCTTGGAACAGGTCCTGAGAGGTTGCATTTATAGCAAGCTCCCAGGAGCTGCCATTGCTGGCCCAGGGACAACACTGTTCTAGAACAGAGTCTAGGCATGTAGAGGTCTCCTTATCAAGCAACTGCACTCAGCTGCCTGGTAATTGACTAGAACATTATAAAAATGAAACATTCCCTTCTACATTCCATAGTAAAAGGTCCAAATACTTACAGGACATATACTCCAAACAAAATAGCTGCAAATCCACGTTTTCATAAATAAGAGAGTAGAGCTGGGCATGGTGATTCATGCCAGTGGTTCTAGAACTAGGGAGACTGAGGCTTGTTTAAACGCAAGATTTTCAGCCTAGCCTGGGAGACATAGCAAGATTTTGTCTCAAATAAAAAAGAAGAGGGATAGACTTTTGTCTACACTAATAGATGAACTACATTAACGTTAAATGAACTTCAGAAATTGGTGTCATGACCTGTGTTCATTTTCTGGCATATCATTTTATCTGGATTTTACAGCATTTAAATTAACCTTCCAGTTAAAAATGAGGTATTTGCAAGCAGATCATTCTGGTGGAGAGCACCTGTGCAAGCATTTATGGCATCATCCTCAAATAAATGGAACATGTGACTGAGAACTAGTTTCTATCTTTCCCCGAAACCTATGCCAGTACAGTAATGGCTTAGGCACTTATTTAGCACCAGAAGCAAATCCATGATTTGCAGATTATCAGACTGCAAATTCAGTGACACTTGCAATAGTAAATTCAGCAATTTTTTTTACTCAAAAATCATATGAATTCTCAAGTCTCTTCTTTCTTCCTACTTGCTAACTGAATATAGCTGTATAATATCTCTTACACAGTTTTTGCTCTCTGGCTATCTGCAAACACATATTGATAAGTCTTAAATGTTTATGGGTTTTATGCGACTTTGAAAAACAACATTTTATGACTACAGAAAAATAAAATTATACAACTATTTGTAAAGGACTGGGCTATGACCATTTAAACTTAACTTTGGTTTATAAAGAGCTAAAGATTAGCTATAG